AAGTATGACATAAAGTTACTATTCATTAAATATTCAGTAAAGTGCGAAGTGTAAATTTTCAAGAATTCAGAATGAATTCCAGATTTTAGGCCAAAAAAGCCAAACTGAAAAAAAGTCAGCTGCGATTTGGATTTTTGACAAAAATAAAAATAAAATTGGAAATTCACTTTTAACCAAATTTTGAATTCATGGCAACTCTCATTTCACTGACTAACTGTATAGCTAATCAAGCTGTTCAATATGATATAATTAGGTGTAATATGGAATTGGGATTGAATAAATTGAATAGTGTGCAGGATAGCTGTGAATTAGCTGTGCATGGGAAAAAAATTTGGTTCGGTTCGGCACTTCCAAAATGCGGGACTTCAGCAGTTCGGGAATTCGGCAATTCCCTAACCCTAACCCTACCCCTACCCCTAATCCTTACCCTTACTCCAACCTTCCTCTAACCCTAACCCTACCCCTCACCCCAACCTTCCTCTAACCCTACCCTTAACCCTTACCCCAACCTTCCTCAAACCCTACCCGTATCCCTACCAGGTTTAGGGTTAGGAGTAGGGTTAGGGTTAGATTCCTGTAATCATTCCCTTAATTTTCACTCCCTCTCCTGTTTTGCCACTTTTCAGAAATTCGGCACTTCAGCAATTTGGTTTGGTTCAGCACTTCCAAAATCCGGCACTTTTGGATTTCGGCAATTCGGTTCGGTTCGGCACGGCACTTCCAAAATTCGTACATTTGGAAGCATCTGAATGTCAGAATTTCCGAAATTTGTCGGAATTTAAATTCAGACCGAAACGAATCGCACATGTCTACTGTGAATATACTCCCAAAAAAGGGACATGTATCCTGGCCAAATAAGCTGATTGGCTAGTAATGACAACATCATCCTCCATGGGTACAAATGCCCTGCTTTTAAAAACTGGCAAGCATTGCTCCTTAGGTTATTTACCAAAGTGAGATTTCAAAGTGAATTAAATGTGAAATTTAAATTTAAAGCCAGACTTTTCCATCTCAGCTATTTTGATCTTAAATTTGAAATTCACTTTGAATTCTCACTATAGTGGAAAAACCCTGTATTGAGAGGTAGGTGATGTACTTGTGTTTTTTTATGGATTATTGTCACATACTCAACTGACAAATTTACTTAAAGGGATTCCACATCTATTAGAGCCTTTTTCTCGATGTAGGCTCTAAACTTAGCAACCTAAGCCTTTTTAGTTGGCAAATAAGACTTTCTTCTGGAAAATATTCAGCTCAGCAACTCCCAATGAAATTCATAAAAAGAACTAAGGAAACAGGAAAGCCTTCTAGGTGTAGTATTCTTAATCTCAAACCTGTCATCATTTATAGAGGGGTTCCGAATTTGAAGAGTCCCCTAGTCCACAACCACATAAAGGAGAGAGAAACAACTAACTATAACTTTCTGAATGAATCCAAAGGATGTTATGGGTGTGGCTCCTGTGGAGCTTGTAAAAATTCTTTAAAGGAACGCAATAGTCACCTAAATTACTTTAGCTAAATAAAGCAGTTTCAGTGTATAGATCATTCCCCTGCTATTTCACTGCTCAATTCACTGTAATTTAGGAGTTAAATCACTTTGTTTCTGTTTATGCAGCCCTAGCCACACCTCCCCTGGCTATGATTGACAGAGCCTGCATGAAAAAAAAACTGGTTTCACTTTCAAACAGATGTAATTTACATTAAATAATTGTATCTCAATCTCTAAATTGAACTTTAATCACATACAGGAGGCTCTTGCAGGGTCTAGCAAGCTATTAACATAGCAGGGGATAAGAAAATCTTAATTAAACAGAACTTGCAATAAAGAAAGCCTAAATAGGGCTCTCTTTACAGGAAGTGTTTATGGAAGGCTGTGCAAGTCACATGCAGGGAGGTGTGACTAAGGTTCATAAACAAAGGGATTTAACTCCTAAATGGCAGAGTATTGAGCAGTGAGGCTGCAGGGGCATGTTCTATACACCAAAATTCTAAGGAGAGCTACACCATCAAAGAACTTATAACCTGTTACTCCAAGAAAGTTGTCTATATCATCATATGCCCATGTGGCCTCTTTTATGTGGGGAGGACTATCCACACTCTGAATATTTGTATTCAGGAACATATTAGAAATATATGAAATGGGTTTGAAAAACACAGTTTGTCACTGCACTTTAAAAACGCACACGGGGGCGTGGCCGGAACTTGAGCCGGATGGTCGTGGATTGAACGAGCTCCGCCGACAATGCTCATTAAAAGCAAAGATAAAAGCTTTAAGACTGCAGAAAACACTCCAAAATCATCCTTAAGGATGTCGCAACACCTCTCGAAAAAAGCGGCGGACGCCAAGGAGAAATCGGATTTCTTTACAGCCCGCAGACCTCAACACAAACCTGCGAGTCAGCAGTCCCAAGATAGCGTCGAGTCCGACACGGATAGTGAGCGCACAGCAGGTATGGCGGTAAGCAAGCAGACTCTGCAGCAAATGCTGGACGAACTTGCAAGCAAAATGCAAACCACAGTCCACACGGCAGTGGCTGATCTAAGAAAAGATATTGCTGACCTAGGCAACCGGACCACCCACATGGAGGGTAAAATGGAGGAATTCACAGCAGCCCATGATTCCATGGCAGATAAAGTGGAGGAATTAGAATCCAGGTTAGAACACTATGAAAACAAACTAATGGACCTGGAAGATCGCTCCCGCCGCAACAATCTCAGGCTCAGGGGCATACCAGAGGAGGTGCGACCACAGGAGCTGACAGCATATGCAACAGAGTTTTTCTGCTCCATACTGCCTGATATACCAACAGACATGCTGATCTTGATAGGATACACAGAGTCGCTAGACCCATGCACCTACCCCCCTCCACCCCACGAGATGTGCTTATGAGGGTACATTACTTCCATGTTAAGGACCATATTCTGAGGGCTCAACGGACCAGCAGTGCGGCAATGGAGAAGTTTAAAGACATACACATCTACACGGACCTGTCCGCCGAGACCCTGAGAAGAAGACGGACCTACAGAAACATTACAGAAACTCTACGCCAGCACAACCTCCAATATCGCTGGGGATACCCGGTTAAGCTGCTCATCAACAAGGACGGCAAGACACACATGGTCACATCCCACACAGAGGGCACTGAACTCCTTCAAGCATGGGGCATAACGGTGAACAACCCAACCACGGGCCAACCTCGCAGCATCAGAACTCAGGGGGAGTGGAAGACAGCTAAAACGAGGCGGAATGCCCAGCGGATGGCGCAGTGAATAACACGGGACATTTACGGTCAAAGGTTTGAACTGAGGGGGCTGAATGGGAGGATGGGGAGAGGAAAGGGGACATATCCCGTTGGTTACAGGGAAGGACACCATGCCCTAGCACGCAAACATTAACGCACAACCCCACAAACGTAAAGTGCCCTGGCGGGCAATACACAATAGGGAATATGCACTTAGAGGGGACAAGTAGCGGGGCGAGATCGCTCCACAGCCCCCCTGGGAACCCTCAAAATGTCCATCCAGGCCAACAAGTCAAGTAGTTATCCACGCTTCATAAGGGAATGGACAAGGGCGACATAATCGTGACACACAGACAGACCCTCCAAAACTAGACGAGAGTTTGAACCACACGTTCTTAAAAATAAAAAAATATATAATAATAAAAAATAAATAATAAAAAAAAATCATAACTCGTCCCAAACTACAACCAAAGAAAGGACCAGACTGACCCGTGGACCAGGAGCCCCACACAGGTTCCCACATATACTCTACTGCATGACCGAGATGCACAGTCCTGAAAGGACACCACGCTATGACCATAAGTCACAAGTTCTAGAACAGAAACCGGAAGGACATTGAGACATGTCCCCATTCAAATGCCATAGACCCTAACACTAAGGGGGCATACTGCACAGCAGTACTAGCAACAATGAACCATGGCTTAAGGGGAGTATAGATCCGAGACCGAGCCGGTAGGACCTGTCCACCTACCCTTAACCCGAGAAGGTTTAAGTTACAACCTTCACATTAAGATCTATGGTCACTTCAAATGTGGTGCCCATTTATTGTTTATGGTTTAAATTGTTTATTGTTATGTTATGCTATACAGATGTATGTCTCCTGCATGCTTATGTCCATACAATCTCATGTTCACCCAAAGCAAGACTTCTACAAAGCCACACTGCCCAGCTGAGGCCCCACACCAAGAATCAGGCACAGAGAAACTTAACCCACCCTTCACAGCAGTACACACAAAGCAGACCGCACTCGCCTACACACCAGAATGGCTCACACAGATGTGGGCGGACATGCTCATCAGACAAACCAGCGGCCCCGAAGCTGCACACTTACTTAACTTGAATTAATATGAAAATATACACACACAACATCAGAGGGTTAAACACCCCACAAAAGAGACACACTCTTCTCAAGGACCTTAAAAGCATTCAAGCTTATGTGGTGTGCCTACAAGAAACACACTCTTAAACAAACACTAGCCCCGTCTTGGGGAAGACACTGTACCCCCACCAATATCATGCCACTGCATCCACAAAAAGCAAAGGAGTCTATATCCTACTCAGCCGACATTTAGCTTTGATGAAATATCATTTAAACAAGACCCACAAGGCAGATACATTATTCTGATCTGTACCATCAACAGTTCTACCTATACTATAGTAAACGCATACCTACCTAATGTAAATCAAGGGAAGTACCTCCGTAAACTGTTGCAACTCATAATACAGCTCCAAACAGGTACCACTATCCTGTGCGGAGACTTTAATCAGTTTCAGGACCCCATACAAGACTCATCAGCGACACACACAACCCACAGAGCTAAAATACTTCACAGGAAATGTAAAACTCTGACCAAACTTTTACTAACATACGGCCTATACAATACATGGTGCACACTGCACCCGAATGAGAAAGAATTTACACATTACTCCCAAGTGCAAAACACATACTCAAGGATAGATGGCTTTCTGCTACAAAGCATGCACCTCAATCGAGTAATAGCTTGTGACATAGGGGCCTCATCTTGGTCAGACCACAATCCAGTTACACTCACAATTGCAGATCACTACAACTATAAAAACCGTGGCCCATGTCAACTAAATGAACAGCTTCTCAATGATCCCCACTTTGTCCACACACTGCAGCAGGACCTGCATACATACTTCCAATCCAACAACACTACTGACATCTCCCCCCTCACTCTCTGGATGGCTCACATACTGGTCATTAGGGGAATTCTAATTAGGCGAGCCTCCCACCTCAAGAAACAGCAACACCAGGCACATATTCAAGACCTCCACAGAGCCAACCAAATCACTCCCTCGAAAACCATGCAAACCGCGAAAGCCGAAAAATCAATGCCACAAACTTTCAAAAAGCAAGTTACGCACTAAAAAAATTAAAAGCCACTACCTTCGTCCTTGGAAACAGAGCTAGCAAAGCATTAGCCCAAAGACTTAGAGACAGGCAAGCACAAACTAAAATCCCTTACCTGCTGTCCCCAACGGGACACAAACTAATCCAACTTACGAAGATCTGTAATGAGTTCGCAACTTATTGCAGTTCCCTTTACAATCTGAAGGACAACTTGCAAACATTAAATTTAGTTGGAGAGGGAAACATCCCAGGGTCCCTAGAACATTACTCATGAGACCGACAGACAAAGGAGGACTCGGATTCCCAAACCTTAAGGTGTATTATTTGGCAACACAAACAGCTAACATTCTGGCTATGCCCAATGGATGGAGATTGAGGCCAGTTGGGGTGGAACACCAGACCTCGCAGCGGCAATGTGGATACCCAGACGTTTGCGTCGTACACCCCTGTGCACCCTGCCCACCACTAAACTTCTGTACAACACATGGGATAATCACAGAGACGCATTTTGCTCCGCCAGACCGTGGTCCCTGGTGACGCCACTACACACAATCAATCTCTGTAATGATACATTCCCACACAGAGCATGGAGGGCTTGCAACCTCACACACCTACACCAACTATGCAACCCACAAGGCCTACACTCGCTCCCGATCATACAGTCCACATACGATTTACCACAGCGACTAACGTTCTCCTACTGGCAACTCAAAGCACTAATAGGCAACACCAAAGAAATGATCCCACACCCACATTTGACATCACTCTCACTACCTTCGAGAGGATGTGCCTACACCAAATCCTAATTCAAAAAACACTGTCAGTATGCTATAAACTGATTACCGCACACAACACTGAACCTAATTGGCGGTTCCAAACCGAATGGCATAAAGACATAGGCAGGGACCTCACACAGGATGAATGGAACCACATTTACGCAACCCACAAGGGTCTCACTTCGTGTGCCTCCCATCTGGAGTCATCTCGAAAATTACTCTATAGATGGTACATGACACCCGCACGTCTCAAGAAAATGTACCCTAACACGAGTAACAGATGCTGGAGGTGCCTAACCCAGGAGGGAGCAATGCTCCACATCTGGTGGACCTGTGCCTTTGTCCAGCTGTACTGGAGACAAATAGAAGAGCAGATACGGGGTGCTACAGGGTGCATCTTAGAATACAATGTCGAAACCTTTTTACTCAAGCTCTTGCCTATTAACATGCCACGTTGTATATCTAAACTAACATTCCTCATCCTCTCCTCGGCCTCCACATTATTAGCACATCAGTGGAAAACCCCAACGATTCCCTCCATAGCGGAAGTAACCACATTGGTCTCCACAACACTGGAATACGAGACAATAGTGTGGCACCAAATGAAAGTGGGCAAGGGGAGCACCACAGCAAAAGAACTTTGGGCAGCTTTTGTAGAGGGATGGGTCCCTAGACAACTCCCTAAAAAGTAGCCAAAAGAGACAGAACAAAGATGACTGAGCAGAACGAGACAACTCAGTGAAGACATACTAGTTACATTGTTAAACCCAGTTATCCCCCCCCCCCCTTATCCCACATGACAGAAATCCACCAAAGGGAGGGTTTTGACCCACCTACATGGGAGCAAACTGAGGAATGGCAAGCCTCGGAGGCGCAGGCGACAGTAAACCACACGGAGGAATGGAGGGGACAATAACTCCCCAATAAAACATAGTAATGTGAGGCCTCTGAGATAAAGTTCTAGAGTGCCGACAACATACTAAGGGCGAGAGTGGGGGGTTGAGGTGGGAGAGCACATTTGCAAGCGGACCCAATCCCTTCACCAACCACCCCGCCATGTGCCCCTCACTCTTGGCACCTGTGCTCCGTCCCCACCCCGATACTACAACATCACACCAAAGTTAATCACCTGCCGATACAGTAAGACAACTGCACATGTGACGATAAAACTATGCTATAAAACTGTGATGTACTGATGTGTTGTATAACTGGCTTATCTGCATTTTTCCCCATCCCATTTTTCTTTTCTGTACCCTAAAAGAATAAAAATTGTCACAAAAAAAAACCGCACACAATAACAATCTCAGTCATCTCCAATTTATGGGAATCCAAAAAGATCTACCTAATTGGAGAGGGGATGACTTATTTAGAAGAATGGACCAAAATGAAATGAATTGGATTTTTTATTTAAATATTATGACAGATCACCTGGCACCCCAACTGGGCACCTCCGTCAACGGATGCTTCCTAGCCGACGCTGAGGACCATAAGCACCGCACCGGACACCACAACCACCGCAGACTCCACAACCGCCGTAGCTTAACTGGAATCTCGCCATCTTCCTTCCACCCTGGATCAACCTCTGACATCCAGGACCGTGTGGGAGAGAACTCTCCTCCAGGAGAGTGTAATTGGAACAGCTCTTAAAAGAGCTAAGTGATTAGAACTCAGGGGAGTATACAAAGTATAGCAATCCCCAGTGTGATTATAGCAGTTCTCCTCCAATCACGAGACAAGAATACGTATTGAGGATCAAACAGGAACAGCACGTTTAATGGCATAAATTGGATTTTTATACAGTTTTTCAGGCCAGAGGCACACCCACTGGAGCTGATGGAGGACAGGGACACAAGGGACGTAAACCAATCAAAACAGTAATTAACAGTACGACACTCCCACATACAGTAAACAATAAAGTAGTTAATACAATAATACAATTAAAGTAGTTAATACAATAACCTAATTATCCACAGGCAGAAAAACACACATTTTCCTCAAAGTACAGAAAACACCCCAAAACATAGCATACCCCCATACATCCCCTGATAGCCCATATCTGGTTCAACAACATATCCAAAAATCACCCAGATCAGAGCAGGGGTTCAGGAAATTCCTGGAAGTCTCTTTTGACCGACCGCAGGCAGGGTTTCATGCCCAAAACACTTCCAGAGAATCAGGGCTTGCGGCCGGTCTAGTTCGGTAGTTTGCAAACGAACAAACTACCGAACGGAGTCAATAGTCTTACTGTGGCGTAACCAACCTCTCCACTGGCGACTGGAGGAGCCAAGTTGCCCACCTCTTGCCGCTGGACTATGGCCCTGCATTAAAAACTGTTTATTTTCACTATGTGAGCAGTGTTACCCCAGATAGCTAAGCCATGGAGCCCATTTGTATACGGAAAGACTATGGGAAAGACTTTGGCTCAATGGCGATTGAACTGTATGTATGTGATCTGAGCGCCATTCGGTAATAATGTGCGCTCAGATCTAAGCCATCTGGGGATATGTTGAATGCATATGTTTTATGTAGTAATTGTAACACTGTGTAATTTTATGTCTTTTTACTATCATGTGGCTAATGGAGTTTTGCCTCTGTCCTTGGAGATAATTGTATTACTTCCCAATTATCTCCAGGACAGAGAAACATAGAAACATAGAATGTGACGGCAGATAAGAACCATTCGGCCCATCTAGTCTGCCCAATTTTCTAAATACTTTCATTATTCCCTAGTCTTATCTTATAGTTAGGATAGCCTTATGCCTATCCCACGCATGCTTAAACTCCTTTACTGTGTTAACCTCTACCACTTCAGCTGGAAGGCTATTCCATGTATCCACTACTCTCTCAGTAAAGTAATACTTCCTGATATTATTTTTAAACCTTTGTCCCTCTAATTTAAGACTATGTCCTCTTGTTGTGGTAGTTTTTCTTCTTTTAGAAGGGATTGCAATGCATTGTGGGATCTGTTTAAATGTGTAAGCTTGTGATTGGTCCTTTTACCCTTTGTGTCCCAGTTTCCCATCTGGTCCCCTAGGGGAGTGTCCACCAGGTGGGAGTGATTTGGACCAAAGAAAACTTTGATAATTTGTCTATCTACACCTTCCAAATTGATTGATTAATGCGTGCACGCTTTCCCTAGAAGTAATTCACACCGGAGACAAAGTTTCTGATCAGTGAAAAACTCAGGAATGCTTTATTCCCCGGAGTGGGGGCTCCTTCTTAAAGCAAAAATACGTCACAGTTTAAACATACAGTATACATTCACCAATTGGTTAACAGAGAAAGGGGCCTCTTGTTTAAACCTCCCTACAGAATGTAGTGTCATCATTACAGACTTTTGGATACACGATGGGAGGGGGAGTGAGTGGTATCTATCAGTTCTAAACCAATGATCCTCCATTTAGCTATACGTGGCATATAGCTGTTAACTGGCACAAAGGTAGTGGGGGAGGAGTTAGTAAAGGGAGCTGTTAACACAGGAATTTTGTTTACACAAGGTTTGCTTGATTTGAAGGGGGATGCTTATCAGGATGAAGAATTTACATAGTAAACAGCAACTGAACACATTGTAGGGGGCGAAGGGAATATTTACTCTAGCAGCCAGTTTTAACATAGTGAACACAGAATAAATAGACATTAGTAAATAGCCATTTTATTTTAATTCATCTGTCCATAACAGTCCCCCCTTAAAATGGCAATTTTTACTAAAACTACTATCTCTCATTCTAATACTGTCCCTATAGAAAAATAACAAAAGGCTATCTTGCACATCTGTCTGAACAGGCCTCGAACACTTCACTGCGCGGGTACCCCATAGCAGCTTGTCCACTACTTCTCCCGCGGCAGACTTCTGCCCGTAGAGACAGACGCTATCCCTAAATGTCCTTAAGAGGAAGTAGCTGTTGATTTAGTGCGGTGGGACTGTAAGGGTGTATGTGGTGTATCACGGTCGATATCGTCAATCTCTTGGTGAAGGAAGGTCGGGGTGGTCTGGTCGATTGTCTGATCAACTGTCTTTTGTAGGCATTTCTTAAGACAGGGTAACACACAACAAACAAGAAGAGCGAGGATGATTATCGTTATTAAAATGGCAACACCTATTTGGGCCAGAGCACCTTGCCATCCAGTCATCCATCCAAACCATCTTTCCCATGGATCTGCGGCCCCAGAATTTCGTTTCAGCTCATTGGACAAACTCTTTAACTTTTCTATTGCCAATGTTACCTTACCATTAGGGCCTGTATTATCTGGAATATAGGTACAGCATGTTATGTTGTCTGGGAGTATTTTACATACTCTCCCTTTTTCTGCCAAAATCATTTTTAAGCTTATTCTATTCTGGAAGGTCATCTGAGAGGTAGCTTGTAACCGCCCTATCCCACCATATATCCCATAACAAGTATAGTTCCCAGGATATATAGTAATGCCTTCGTTTGGGCATAATATTTTTAGTAATGATTGGGTATTAAGTTTCCATGACTCGCATGCTGACCGCTTAGGTTTAAATACAGTGTAGAGACTTAAAACGCATACTTCATATCCGGAGGAAGGTTCAGGGATACTGTACCTGGGTGAGGCCTCGCTCCTCTGCAGACATAGCAGTTAGACTTGTTATGTTTAGTAGCATTGTATTTCATCCATTCAAGTCACAAGTTAGTGTCAGAGAAACCTGTCTCTACAGCCCTCTTATCCTCAAATATGGGATGACTACCATGTCTTTTAAAGTCCTAATGTGTGGTTTGAGGGGATTAACAGTCATGTGCGTGGCACCTACCCATTCAGCTGAGTCATACATGTCCTGTAAGAAAAAGGTCTCCTGTTTATTGTATAAACCTCTTCCCTTCCAATTCAGATTTTATTAGCCGTAATGCTTGGGAGAATAGATTCAAACTTAGTTTCTTACCTTAAAATCATTTGGTACCCCCCTTGACACCCCTATGGCATTAATATACATATATATATATATGTGTGGGTAAAACCACCCTTTATAGGGGTACTCCTTTTTGTCCTGAAGCATGAATGAGGTGTGTCAAGAGTACCTTGGGGATTGTCATGTGTTATGTGTATGGACACAATAACCTAGGCTAGGGCACATTTACTTATTCTTAGAAATCTTGTCTCATGCTACCCTAGTACTGGCAGATTCAGATCATTTAAACATTCAATATTAATATCACCACAAACTCAAGATAAGCAGATGATCCTGAAGAAGCTTTGACTGTGCGTATGGCACCTCAGACATGAGGGCTGCAGGGTAAGGAGTATGTTTGTTTCTCTTTAGTTTCACGAGGTCCCCTTTTGGGGTATTCGGCTTTCCATCGATGGCAGGTGGTCAGGCATTATTATGGCCATCAAAACACCCACTTGTTGATATTTATTTATTTATTTATTTTCAACAAGTATCTTTGTTCTCTAAGAATGGAGTTTCAAAAAGGGTTGTCAAGATCAACAAATGCTACTTCACATAATGCAGAGGCAGGCTTGATTCTGGAATGATGAATCCACGGGGTGATCTCTGTAACTTTCACAGTGCACTACTCAGCATGTGGTCTTGGTTATCACTTTGGTGGCTGGATAGGCCTCTGGCCATCCTGAAAACATGTCTGCTATAATTAGTGCATAGTTGAATCAGCCATTCTTTGGCATTCTGGATGTAGTCGACTTGACTCCTCTGGAAGAGATAATGAGGTTTGGCTAGATGCTTTGGCTCCATTCTTCCTGAGTTGCCCTTGGCACAAATGGCACAAGATTTACAGTAACTGTTGGTCAGAGAGGCAATTCCTGATACTTCAGAGTATTTATTGATCAAAAGAGTTCATGAGGGTTCTGGACAGATGCTCCGTAGGCCCACTGGACCACTGCTGAGTATATGTTCTTGGGCAAGTAGAACTTGAGATTGTTGAAGTACAGCCTGTCTTTAAGAGTTGCCCCTTTCTGTTTCCAGCTTGTGGTTTGTTTGTTTTTTCTTTCTTTCCAGGGTCAGTAGCTTGAGGTCTGTGGGTAGGATCTTACATGGTGAATATGGGAGTTTCTTCAGTAGACACTTTTCTGTCCACTTTCCTTAGTGCACTTACAACTTATTGAACAACTTAGTCAGCCAGAGAGTTGCCACATGCTTTCTCCGAGATCAGTCTTCCTTCAGAGATCTTGCATGCTGTGATGGGAGCCTATAGCTCAACTTCTTGTGCAGACATTGTTGAGGTGAGATACCTGGTCCACTGTAGTGACAGCAAATCCGGAACAGATCATAAGAAAAATGCTAAAAAAAAATAATAGTCAGTGTCTTATCATTTCCCCCCTTGGGAAGTGGCAGAAGAGTGGCCAGGTAAATAGAGTATCATCCCTGCAGGGTGACATTATCCTGCACAGAATTCGTCCATCACAAGGAGAGGTGGGATATTGCATGGAAAGTCTCAGGTAACCAGGGCACCATTCGACACCAGAGCCTTAACCTGTTAGGGAATAGTAAGAGCTTGGACAGGCTTTGGGGCCTGTATAATTCAGGTAAAGGTATTGGGGGAACTAGCTAGGACCCTTGCCTCTTGGTCAGGTTTCACTGTGTGGAACAAAATAAATAATAAGGTGATAGGGGCCTGCAAGTGGGGGAAGGACATCTGCACCTAGCAGATTAATTGGACAGGTGAAAGTAACCACAAAGCAAGGCTTAGTTAACAGGCTACTCCAAAGAGAGCCATCTACACTTATGCAGGAGACAACAATGTTAGACAGGAATGAGGAGTCAGGCAGGCCTTGCTTGGTACAAATAGATGTCATGTGGCCTGCTATACAAGGCTGCATATAGTTGTTGGGCATGGGCCTTACTATGTACTAAAACTTAAGTTAAAAGAAAATTTGGGACAACCTGAAGTGATACTTCTCCACAGATGCTAACTCATCGTTGATGACATTGTTAATACAGGTAGCCTGATCAGCCAATTTATCTTAGGCTTAAACAAGTCACACCATGTAGTGGAATTGGTCATTAGGATTCGGGAAATTCTACAGTAAAAGGGCATAGTAAGGATGTACGCGATGTTACTTTAGGAGTAGGCGTAGCTGTGGATAGGGGGAAATCAGCCTTATCCATTCCCATATATTATTCCTTTTGTCTTCAGTATATCCAAACCATGTGTATGTCCAGGCGTTGCAATATACAGTAATCCATTATCAGTCATGATATTAAAATCTCATTCTCACGAATTAAATCAAAGATTTTAAATCAACCTCAGAAGCAACAAAGAATAAATCTATTGTTTTTTCTTCTGTAAAATGATTGGAGTTACTATATAATTGCATACACCCAACATAACATTGCATGTTCCTCACTGCTACATTAGTGTATCTCATTCTGCCATATGTGCAAACTTGATTTAAATTTTTATTTTAATTAACCTAATACTTTCTTATAACACATATAAAAACAATGAAAGACAGTACAGACTAACAATTCATTTAAAACAATAAACTGACATAGGTCTCTATTCTTGTGCTGTTCTTAATTCTGGAATCAGCCTGTGTACATCTGTTGGCAGACATATCCATGCTCATTCCCTAAACTGATCATATCTCTTGAAGTTATCTGATTCTTATAACTTTCTGTGTTACGCTGCATTGCTTGTCTGTCTCCTAATTTCCATATATTATTTTATCATTGTCCTCAAATTTTACAAGAGTGGTCAGTCTACATGCCATTTGAGTCGGCAGCCATATTTTAAACAATCTATTCCTTTGTTCGTCATTTAGGCTGTATTTGTCCACATTTGACTCAAACATTCCAGCATTAGTAAATGCATCCACTGACGTGTCATAAACTGGAATACATTTCACAATTTTCATTAATTGTTCGTGTATTTTCAAATTAAGTTTTGCAGCTCTGTCTTGAAATTTATATTTTCTGCAAATCACTCTGTGAGGATACATTTTCAGTATCTATTGGTTCTGGGATTAGATTCTGTGTCTGTATTTTTCTTGTATTAACACACACTTGCTTAACTTCATTTCTAAGCTGGCAAATAAGATCATTTCTTAGTTCATCTCTATCCTCTAATTCACAGACTGTTTCTGACTGTTTACAGCATGTGCTCCCTGTTACATTGTTACACTGTTCATTTAAATCTGATTTGTCTTCTGTTAACCCATTCAAATCTACTTCTTTTTCTGATGATTCTAAATTGTCTTGACCTGCATTACGTTTACAAATCAATGCACTGTAAGTACAGACTAGTTTCATAAAATTTCTGATCTTTTTTTTTTTTCTTATTAACAAACAATTTCTTGTCAATTTCACTATTGGCAATTTCACATTGTGTGTATAAAGATTGCCACAATACAGCATCTGAATAGCTGCTATTATATGCAAACTGCAATTTACTTTTCTCTGCAATATCATTTATGAATTCCACAATTCATTTGTTCCAACAAAATCTAACTTTCCTTATTCCAACATGCCAATAACCTCTTACTTAACAACATATACAATATTACACAAAGTTCCTAACTAGGTTATTCGTCCAGCAAATATACCTTGTTTCCCTCACATTCCTCACTGAGTTTACAAGCATTTCACCCATTCACGCCCCCTGTAGCCAATACTCATAGCAGTCAGAGCAAGAGAAAGCAACAAAGAAGGAGGGGGGAGGAGGGAGGAAGACTTGCAAGCACAAAGTTTTTTAACCATGTGATTGCCTAAGCACAGCTCTCCTTAGGACAAAAGATAGAATAGGACAGTAACGATACAAATTGTATAGATTACAATTAACATATATGGTACCTAACAAGACATACACAGACAAAAGCACAAAATACAGATGTAATTAAATCACAAAGTTCTTAAAATAAATGCCGGCTTATAATAAATCAAATCACACACAGAAACACTCAAGCACATATACAACAACTTCACTCTTTGTTCGTTGTTTTTTATTAAAACAACAAAAGAATCGCCACGATCTATTTTTAATATGAATCGGACAAAAAACTAAACCTCCAGGGGCTATTCTGCACGCCTGAACTTAAAGGAAAAACAACAAAGGAAACGCCACGATCTATTCTTAATCGGACAAAAACTAACCACCAGGGGCTATTCTGCACACCTGAATTTAAATGAAAAACAACAAAGGAAACGCCACGATCTATTCTTAATTGGACAAAAACTAACCACCAGGGGCTATTCTGCACACCTGAATTTAAATGAAAAACAACAAAGGAAACGCCACGATCTATTCTTAATCGGACAAAAACTAACCACCAGGGGCTATTCTGCACACCTGAATTTAAATGAAAAACAACAAAGGAAACGCCACGATCTATTCTTAATCGGACAAAAACTAACCACCAGGGGCTATTCTGCACACCTGAATTTAAATGAAAAACAACAAAGGAAACGCCAAGAATTAATATTAAAATATTAATTAATATAATCTGGCCTAAAAACTCCAGGTATATTTGCACCCTGAATTAAATAATCACAAGAAAGTAAAACAGATTCTCAAACAGACACTTTCACACATAAAACTCACACTCAGGACTCAGGCTGTAGATAGACAAGTGACAGGTTCTATATAAAAGGGGACATGTGGGCATACTATATACCTGTCTGACGTTAACCACAGGAAGCCGAGTGAAGGCCCAGAGTGCAGACCAATTCCAAAGAATGGAAAATATAGGTAAGTTACTCATTTACCATATGCAGAGGTGATCAGGCTCTTTTTTTTTTTTTTTTCAATCTCTGGGGGTCTCCTCTCCGGTCCTGGGATTTTACGGCTTCGAGCAGAATAACAACAACCCTCTCGTCCCTGTTCGGAAGTGCGCCAACTGATTTGGACCAAAGAAAACTTTGATAATTTGTCTATCTACACCTTCCAAATTGATTGATTAATGCGTGCACGCTTTCCCTAGAAGTAATTCACACCGGAGACAAAGTTTCTGATCAGTGAAAAACTCAGGAATGCTTTATTCCCCGGAGTGGGGGCTCCTTCTTAAAGCAAAAATACGTCACAGTTTAAACATACAGTATACATTCACCAATTGGTTAACAGAGAAAGGGGCCTCTTG